TTTCTAATTTCGTCCACGAGTTCGCACTCCTTTCCATTCAAACACACATTGCAGGTAGCAAGTCGTATAATCCGTTTTCCGCGCCTTGTCATATTTCTTAAGTTCGATCCAGCTCTAATCTTTCGTTTGTTTGTGATAAGACTTATTTTAGAGGAGTAGGTTATCAGCCCACTGCCTCCTAGTCAGGTGGAGGGGCTGCCTGCTTAGAGCATCCTGACCTGCCCCCTCATCCGAGGCGGCTTCCTAGGAGAGGTGACCCTAGGGTGTGTAGCGTAGGTGACCTTGTGTCAGTGTAAGTGTGTGGTATACTGTTCTGTGTATGTGTCAGTGCAGTGTACTGAACTCGGGGTCCGAAGGATCGTCAATCCCCACTAGCTGCGCACTTCAGCTAGCCCCTGCGGGTCAGAAATAACCTAAATCACATAAATGTGCTGCCCAAATAGTTCTCACATCTCACCACCACTCCAAAAAGACACACTAACTAGGTACTACATTATTCCATGAAATTCACACTCATAACGAAGTATACACTTGATGGGAACCTAAACAACAATACCATTATTCGACAACATTAAGTAAACAAAAATAATTAACCAAATAGTATTCACAAATATGGTTTGTAAACTAGTAATGAAAACAGTAAATCAATAAAATTGTGAATTAAAATAAGGAAGTACCTTCCTTGTCTATTTTAGACAAGTTTTTCAACACAATTGTACTAAGACACTCTTTTTATTAAACGAAAACACTACGCAGGAAATATTTAAAATTATGGCAATGCCTGATTTTACAAGAAGTGGTTAAATTGGAGTAAGGTTATTTGATTACATTTTGCTGACCCCCATCATCTAACTTGCAGAATGATGGGTATAATGGAATTTTTCACAAACTTGATGATTTGGACTTCTCTCCAGTTTCAATACTCCTGTTGCGATGGATGGACGCTCGCTGTGGTGAATTAAATGACATCGCCTACATTATGATTATACCTTATATTTCCAGGGGGCTATGTGTGTAGTCCAACACTGATGGATACAAATCAGGCAAAGAAAAAAAAAAGATTGTTATTTCATTCCGAAATTTGACTGAAAGTATTAACTAAGTAAATTGATATTACATGTTATGTACTTTATTCATTTTTATTAATAAATATTTCAATTTTAAAAACATTGTTTTTATGCATTGTTATAATAGTAAACATTAATCTTCCTCTATACAATCCTTGGCTTACTAAGCTGAGTTATTATTGCTGTTGTCATTTTGGAAACATTTTAAGTTATTAATAGAAGTATATAAACTTAGAGTTGTTGTTAGTATTTGGCTATTAGCTAACGCCTTATTACGGACATATCAGCACTTACCTCCTACGCCACTGGACGTACCCCAGCCAACTCTGTGGCTCATCTTCAGAAAAACTGGAACAGAACAGAACCTTTGCTTCCACTTGATTAAAGATAAGCAAATTAAAGGGATGGAAAATTGTGATGATCTAACCTTGCCAATGGAATACCCTTTGCAAAACTCGGGAATTATACTAACAAACAACCTAACGTAATTCGCGATATCGCCGATCAATTTGGGATGAATCTACCAACATGTGATTCCAATTGAATGGGAGCATAGGAAAAATGAAGGTGAAGTTGTACCATCTATAGTGAAGGAAGCTAACAAATAGCGCTAGGCCTAACAACCCATTACTAAGAAATGTAATGTTCTTAATGGCTCTAATACCAAATATCTCCTCAATAATTCTACCAATCCCTGAAAACTAAGATTAATGAAGTGATAATAAGGCATCCAGGTTCTTTCTATTTGTTTCGGGACTTAATACTACATCAGAAATGATATATGTGTATCACTCATAGATATATCATTCACCTCAAGTTGTGTAGAGAAATGAGGTGATTTGAAATCCTGTCAACTAAAAGTAGCCGTGTTTTCAGTGAAAAAGACTACAATAAATTAGTGAAAAGCTTTATTTCCATTATATTCACGATCTGGGACGTATTATAGAGAGAGGAACACTTTATTTTTTATAAAATATAAAGAATTGCTGCCCAATTATATTGGGTTGCTATATACACAGCATATTCGTTAATCCGTAGGACAATAAATGAACTTATATATAGATATACAGAAATGGTTAGTTTATATTAGTAAAATAGATATATGTATATACATTTTTTTTTCTTTCTTTCATTGTCCATGCTTTTTTAATTAAAGCTGTTTATCGTATAGTATATAGTCTTATTTACAATATTTGGACATTTGGCCCAAGGGTTCTAGCCATACTTGGAGCTTCTTCTAGTGGATTAAGTCGATTAATATTTTCCCTACAAGGTGAGGAACTACTCTCTCTGAAAAAGAAAATATAACAGAATAACGGGTATGATTACTGGAGGAACAAGTTTTAAAGCTACTTAATTTAATTTGTATAGACTTTTATTTTATTTTTTCCTTTTTAATCTCATTTCCTCTTTAATTTTTCATAAATGAGTTGTTAATTAATTATTATTTTATTTACCTTACAGCTTCATCTTTCACTATAATAATAATAGCAGGAGAAGTGTAATGATTATTATTTTATTGTCTGGAATTACTTAAATATAATGATTATATTTCTTGAAAGGTTTTTAAAATTTTGTGGAATATATGAGGAGTATTTACACACAGTTGTAAAACTATATCCAGAGGTTTTTATATTTATTATTGATTGTTATATTCTATTCTAAGTTTATTAAATTAGCTTTATAACTTTTTTTCAAACTTATTTATTGAGAGATATTACAATCTGTCACAATTCAGGACATTTATAATACTGTTCAGAGAGCACATTCACACTCTATTAACAATAAATAATACAGAAAAATAATAATACTAAAAATGTATATAAACTAAACTGTTTCTAAAAAAAAAAAAAATCATTCACTCATGATTTCCGAGCCAAGTTTTCTCTTTCTCCCCACTCGTGAAAGGAAAGGCAGGACTCTAAAAGATCACAACGCCTCTCACTCAGCCGCATTACTGGTATTAAAGACCAATATCAATAATGGTATTGATATTAAAGACCAGTAGCTGATCAGAGGTATAATCGCGGCTCTATAACACATACATGGCTTGAGTGGAGAATATGGCCGATGCCAAAACTCCAATAAATAATTATTCTCAAAAGGTCTCTGGGCCACTGTCGCTTCAACCTTCTAGGAGATTTGTCGAAATGAGTGGTACTGGATAGGGATTGTGCAAGGGGGTTTGGATGATAGGTAAGGTGAAATGTGGAGAATTTTTCTTGGATAAGGTCTAGGAAAAATGGGATATTAAGGTCATGGTGTAGGGTTTTGTTGGCCACATACAGAGAATCTTCTAGATCAAGAAGAAAATCTTCTAAAATCATAGATCCAACGTTGTCTTTTGCACACCTACTACTAGGTGAGAATGAAATAACTAATTGTAAGACCCTGCTGCATTAACAATATACACCTCAAAATCCTCGTACTCCAGATCTTCTTACACAAATAACTATTTTTCAATATATTCTAAAACAAAAAATGTATTAAACAAAATAATTTATACAAATTATAATATGCTGGTTACGGTTCTTCGTTTTTGTGATATACTCATTAAGATGCAAGAAGTTTTGTAATGATGTTTATTTTAATGTTTATTATTTTTTAAAATAAATTAATATTTTTTGAACATTTTTCGTACCACGATTATGTTGTCCATTCAAGAAACCATGAAGCATAAAGATTTGAAAAAATAATTAGGACTCTTAAAAAAAAAAAATAAGAATTTTACAAAACCAATTTAATAACGTTGTGTACGGTTAAAATGATTAAAAATCTGAAGCATGACTAAAAGATTACTAGAAAAGAACGAAATGTTGGATTATTTACTACAATTATTCATTTAATTAATAATTAAAAAAGTATTTATCATGTAATTAAATTTTGAATGCCACCATTCATTTATATGTTTGACCTTTGTCCCGATAGAGTGCACTAGCGGATCCAGTACTTTTTTGGGGGGAGAGGGGGGAGGGCTTCAGCCCGAAAGTTTTTTAAAAAATATATATAACGATAATTAATTTGAGAAAAAAAAAAACTAACTGCCTATATGACTGGATGTTTAAGTGATTCTTGAAGTCCCATTAAATGTAATTACAGGAACAATAATACTTTAAGAGATAGTTTTTAATGTTTTTTTCTATAAAACATGATTATATTTTACCATTTTGGGAGGGAGGGAGGAGGTCTGAAGAGGAGGCTTCAGTCTGAAAGCCCCCTCTATATCCGTCTGTGCTAGAGTGTATAGACAGCGCACAGTGCGACGGGTGAAAGGAGGAATGGTATTGTAAATGTGTGAGGATCGGTTAAGGAAAGCTCTACCAAATGCTGTGATGCGGTAGGCGATGGTATAAGACGAGGTTGTATGTTGCGGGAACGACCATAGCATTTGGAATATCCTTTATTCATTCCGATTCGAAAAAAATCTTTTTTCTGTCACATAACCTTCTTCTTTCCCTCCCTCCCAACTTCCTCTCCCTCCCCAAAAAAGTTAACTCGCAAGCCGAAATGAACATTCTTCATTAAACAGTAATCAGTAATTATTAAAACTCTACTTGATTATTATTATACATTTAGTTGGATCCAAGTGTATTTAGGTAAGCAAGCTTCTTTTTTGTCCATTCAGTCAATCAATTTTAGTTTTAATACAGAGAATTAATATATATTTAATAAAATTAGTACCCTATAGTATTAACCTGTTATTTTCAATCTTAGATCAAATTAAATAAAAAAATCACAACTCTGTATATCATTGAATGATTCCTCAAAACAACTTAATTTATTAGTTCCTTTTTGGTATTAATTCTAACGGTACGGCCACACATTTGGCAAACATTTATCTGTGTTCAATAGTTGGCCGAGTAGGGCTACACTTGTAATTATTTGCCATATGTCAAGCCGCACCATCCTTGAATACTTGAGTAGCCAGCTTACCCTCTGAGCTTTCCTCTTGTCGGCCCTCTGGTTCTGGTGGTATATCCTGCTGAAGTTGGAGACGATGACAGGAACTGGAAGAGCGATGACCAGCACTCCGCTCAGCGAACACACGCCTCCCACGATCTTACCGGCAATTGTTTCAGGAACCATGTCACCGTACCTAAAAACATATTTCCACTATTATATCAGATATGTGATTAATATACGTTAGTTCATTTATGATTTATATAGTTACTCATGTCGATCCTAAATACAGATTAAAAAAGACAAAAAACAACAGTTTATTGACTATAAAGCTCCTGAATAAGCGAAGAATGGCGGATCACCACGGAGAATCCACCACCTGAGAAATGGATAAGAACATTGAGGATTTGTTTATTCATAATATCTGATCTTATTTACAAAATTTGTACACTTTTTATAATACTTAGCGAGTAGCAGACGCAGTAAATTTATGACGATAACTAGACTCCTGATTTGTTTTGAGAGTTGAAAATCAGTCATTGTACCGAACATATTATATCGTGTTGTCTTACCCAATTTTTTGGGGAGAATAAAATATTGCAGAAGAGCAGGACACAGAATCCTCGAAAGGTACAATAAATAACTATCAAAAGTTAAGTTTGATTTTTATTAAACTGACCAAGAGACATACACTGAAGTGTGAATAGAAATTTGTCTTCTATTACATGTTCTTTTTATTTTTGCTTACATTTTTCAATGTTTGATCGCAGATCTTCATGAAGCAGTTCACAGGTACCTAGCACATTAATATTTCAAATTTTCTTTTTCAAAATTTCAGTGTATCTTAGCTATGTATGAAATATACATCAAGGGAAAGTAATAATGAAGTCGAATTCGAGTTTTCAACGCAAATGCATGTTTCAAGGTTCTGTGAATCGTAATAAGAATACGAAATGTCTGAGAGCATTGGTTAAAAAAAATAATGATACACTTTTCATCATGGAAAACAGTCTATACTATTCAGTTAGATGAGAAGGGCAAACTATTAAAACGAAGAGATTTAGCTATCTATTTTTTCCCCCTTTTCAAATTCCAATCAACGAAAATTTCTCACTAATTTGTCAAAATTTAACTTTCGGTTCTTATACTACATACCTGATTACGAGGTTTTAATATATTGAAAATGATCTTTCGTTATTAGCTATATTGACAGATATTGAAAATTCAAATTCAATTCAAATTCATGACATATCGAATGAGAGAGAAAGGAAATTGTTTAAAAAAAAACGCGAAAACCAGCATAGAGGGTGGTCAATAATATTGATTATTTACAGTATGAGTTGTGATTATGAATATGAATACTACTCACAGTCTATTAATATTATTATTTGTGCGTTTTGACCTCAACAAGAATTCCTATTTAGAATAACATCGAGTTTATTATTATTATTTTTTTTTTAATTTTCCGATTATTTTTATTTAATTATTTAGTTTTGTATTATTTTACAACTAGGAGGCCCGGCGAAAAATTCGCACAGCATATTGTTTTCAAATGCCAAATTAATATGAAAATAAAATAATGTAACGTATCAAAAGATAAAGAAATCAATTGTTACTTTATCGATAAATATAATCGACAAAGGAAACAAAAATTAATTTTAATGTTTGGAACCAACATGTTTACAAAATTACAATAACCTGTATCTTTGCTAAAAATTGTCCGATTTCGATGATTTTTTTTTCCTTTTGCAGGGAATTTAGTAATATTTTATATAATCATGGACATAATCAAGAGAAAAAAAGTGTGTAACGTTTTAGATATTCGCATGTACTGTTTGTTTTCTTTCATAAATTGTTTGCCTGAATTTTCGGGGTGATTGGACTATTTTGGCCGCCTGAAGGAGAAGAAAGCCTTCGAAATTGGTGGCTCAATCTTGAGATTTGGTGAAGAATTAACGATGATATGGCTTGCCGATCAAAAACACCTTCGGTAAGTAATATAAACTCCTCCTCTATCGATCAGACGAAATGAGACATGTATTCAATAACGATACTACAATTAACGTAAGGTTGTGTGGATGCGAACCCTATGCCTTGCGTTATCTCGAAAATAGTACGTTTTGGGCTTAAAAACGCAGGATCCGATAGTTTCGGAGGATCAAAAATCTTCAAGGTCCAATTTTTCCCGCATCGATCTCCAGACCTACCACCTTTCTAGTATTGAAGCCTATCAAAATGTTTTATCGGCTTTATTTATTTTATAAAGAAAAACAAAAGTGGAGAATACGATTCGCTAACCCCTCGTGGAATTCAGAATCCAACGGTACCTCATTCATGATATTTGAGCATGGCAGGAGCTTATATTTGGTACAAAACCGATTACGACCCTTACTGTAATAATATATGTGGGAATTCGTTCGACGCCCCTAGGCCGTCGTTTTGATAATCTAAGCGTTAAATACACATATATTTATATTATAGAATGGAAAGTAATGTTGGCATGTAAAACTTTTAAAATTTATTTGTAGGTGAACAAACCGAAGAATATAGTGCACAGAATTTGTTAAAAGTAATTTTATTAATATTAATTACAAATCGATCATATTTTATATCGATTATATAAATTTAAAAAAAAGATATATACATAAAACTCTCAGTCTGGCCAGAGATAGCTACCTATGAACATCGCTATAATTCTCTTATACCTACACAGTTTTTCTTTATTTTTATCTTCACAACAGTTCATCTTTAGTTCAGTTTTTTTTTTCTATTATTCTAGAACATTATTAGTGTTCACTGATTCAAGTGACGTACATTCACGTAAAAAAGTGCATAACTCCAACTGATTTCCTAGAAGTACGAGACTGTTATCTTCTACTAATCCTTAAGGCATTAGACACGCTGTTTTCTGCTTTCATCGCATCAACAACTGTCTACCGGTATTTATTTATATATTAATTTATTTACTTCTCATAAAATATGGTGCAGTGTAATATATGCAATAATACTATTGCACGCGAGGACAAAAACAACATTAACTGTGCAAAATGTAAAATTATTTACCATAGTAGGTGTTTCAACTTATCTGATATAGACATCGAAGCACTAAAAACACACAAAAAAACATGGGTATGCCCTAATTGCGACCAGGCCAAAAAACCCAACACTGAGCCGTCTGCCTCAGAAATACTGGCGGCAGTAAATCGTCTAGATTCAAGCGTGAACGAAGACGTAAAAAACATTAAAACAGCCCTCGATAAAAATGGGGAGCTCAGTTTTCAGGTAAATGAAAGATTAGCAAAAATTGAAAAACAGCTCGAAAGTCAAGCCAGTAAATTCGAAGAAATTATTCTGGAAAATAAAACCCTTAAATCCCGAGTGGGCGAACTAGAAGTTCGCCTGAATAATGCAGAGCAGGGCCTGTTATCCAGATCACTGGAGATCCGAGGGATACCGGAACGAGCTGGTGAAACGTCCGCCGCCCTGGTGACCAGTATAGGAGCCAGCCTGGGAGTCAGGCTTAGTGCAGAAGACCTGGATATGGTGCATCGTCGCAGAAGCAGGAAAGATGATCCGCGACCGCCGCCTGTCATCGTGCGATTTGTAAGGTAATCAGTCAGAGACGATCTAATATCGAAAAGAAAAGTCAAGAGGGATTTCTCCACGCGGGATATCGGTTGGCAGGAGAATGACTGCCACCGGATATATCTGGGGGAGGAGATGACTCACACGAACAGGCACTTATACTGGCTTGCGCAACAGAAGAATGCAGCGGGGAAAATCAAATATTGCTGGTTTGCCGCTGGAAAGGTGCGATGTCGAAAAGAAGACGGACATAAGGTTATCTTGATCGAACAGGCCTCGGACCTCGATATATTCACCTGACTACACAGAATTCATCTACCCTTCATCCTTATCAAAATAACTATTGACAAAATTTCCTTCAAAGAAAGATTTTCGCTTTCAGTTGTATTTCTTCATTTTCACATATTAGCCTATGTATTTTTTTAACTATATGCTTTCTATTTTTTGTTTCTTTAAACACTCTCTTTTTTCTCATTTTCATTAATTGTAATTGCTTTTCTGTATTTTTTGTTTGTTTTAGTGTTTCTCTAGCGAACTCTGACTGTTTCCTTCCAAATCCTTCTCATGTCTAGTACCCTAATCACCTGCCATGTTAACTCTCAATCCCTTTCTGCCCATTATGACGAATTCCTGCAATATTTCACTCAAAATTTTTACCATATTATAGCGATCTCCGAAACTTGGCTCAAACCTTATATCCCCTCCTCTTCTGTCTCCTTGCCTAATTACAACCTCTTCCGTCATGACCGGGTAAGCCTGACTGGCGGTGGAGTAGCCATATTTGTCCACAATAGCCTGAAGACCCGAATCCTCGATTTATCCCCATCTTCCAACCACCACAAATACTGGCGGCAGTAAATCGTCTAGATTCAAGCGTGAACGAAGACGTAAAAAACATTAAAACAGCCCTCGATAAAAATGGGGAGCTCAGTTTTCAGGTAAATGAAAGATTAGCAAAAATTGAAAAACAGCTCGAAAGTCAAGCCAGTAAATTCGAAGAAATTATTCTGGAAAATAAAACCCTTAAATCCCGAGTGGGCGAACTAGAAGTTCGCCTGAATAATGCAGAGCAGGGCCTGTTATCCAGATCACTGGAGATCCGAGGGATACCGGAACGAGCTGGTGAAACGTCCGCCGCCCTGGTGACCAGTATAGGAGCCAGCCTGGGAGTCAGGCTTAGTGCAGAAGACATATGGTGCATCGTCGCAGAAGCAGGAAAGATGATCCGCGACCGCCGCCTGTCATCGTGCGATTTGTAAGGCAATCAGTCAGAGACGATCTAATATCGAAAGGAAAAGTCAAGAGGGATTTCTCCACGCGGAATATCGGTTGACAGGAGAATGACTGCCACCGGATATATCTGGGGGAGGAGATGACTCACACGAACAGGCACTTATACTGGCTTGCGCAGAAGAAAGCAGCGGGGAAAATCAAATATTGCTGGTTTGCCGCTGGAAAGGTGCGATGTCGAAAAGAAGACGGACATAAGGTTATCTTGATCGAACAGGCCTCGGACCTCGATATATTCACCTGACTACACAGAATTCATCTACCCTTCATCCTTATCAAAATAACTATTGACAAAATTTCCTTCAAAGATAGATTTTCGCT